TATTACAAATTAGAAACATTTATAGATGACATAATATATATTTTTATATGTTATCAATTCTTTTATATATACTAAATCTTGATTAGCTAATTAATTGACTAATTATCTTGATTAACTATATTATTAAATCTTAATCATGTTTTTAAAAAGCTAATCTTCTCTATATATACAAAAATAAATTTGACACATTACTTTGATTTGCCTTACCCAACTTACTTGATTTACCAAATTCTTTAAACCTCATAATTGCATGCCATGTATATCCACCTATATTATATCTATACATATATATATATATATATATATATATATATGAACTTATCTCGACGGGTCAATGAGCCATCAAAAAAGTTCATACTATAAAAGGACACGTAATCTAAGATCTCTCCCAAGAAAAAGAGCCTAAGTTCTATACATATATATATGACGTGAAGCCGTGGAATTTGTTAGAGGATAGGTTAAATACGTGTGTATATATATATATATATATATATATGCATATGTAAGTAAATATTTTTAAATAAATACTACCCATATTTGGATTTATTTCCTACATAGCTTTAGCCTTTATTTTTATGTATAGTAAATTGAGAGACCATTATCTTTACTTCATAAGATAAAAGGTTGTTGATAAAGTATGTGGGTATATATATATATATATATAGATATATATTACATGGGTACATACATATATATATATGTACACGTGGGTATATGTGTGTGTTGGAGAACATAATCAGAAGAACCTAATTATTTGATTTTCTAAGTCGTGGCACGATCATCTTTTTTTTTCTTTTTCTTCTTTTTTAAATCATAAGTTCATATTTAGGATAATTACAAGGGAACAAACACTCTTTATCCTCCATCATATCTATTTAGTTAATTATTACAATAAAGAACAAATAATTAGGATCCTATTAGTTAATTATTAGGTTTTAATCTCCAAAATTCGCCTAATTAAAATATATGTAACACAATAATTAACGTTCATGCATTAGTTTAATTTTTTCATTTAAAAAATAAAATTCTCATTTTATTAAATAATAAATAAAAGGGTAAATTTTTATTTTATTCTTTGATTTATTAATTATGATATAATTAAAAAAAAAATTCGCTATGATTTTAGTTATTAAAATTTAATAGTTTAAGATAATTAGAGTAATTAAATATAATTAATTTAACTTGGTTCGTTATTAGTTAATCTTTAATCGCGATCCAATCAGGGAAGGGATCCGACCCGAAAAGTTGAACCCACCGTAATCCGCTGACGCAAAAGGCTTGCCAGATGTCACGGCATATGGCGTTCGACTAGACACGCACATAAAACATGTGCCAATAGCACGATGCCACGTGGCTCCGCGGCAATAGCCCCGCAAAGGCTCGGGGTGGATAACGTGGCGGAATAACCGGGCGAGTACGGTAACATAAAAAAAAAAATCGTATTGACGTTTTAAAAAATTAGAAAATTCGAAGGCTATTCGCTGGCCAGCGCCTGGGCAATCCTACGGCGGGCCAGCAGCCTCACATTTCCTCTCGCACCTGACGTTTGCCTTTCTCACTTGTTGTCCACACATCGTCTTCCCACTTTCCCAACTTTTGCCCCTACTCATCCAAATATTTACCAATTTACCCATGCTCTTGTTCTAGCCCAAGATTGTTAATTATTTTGCTAAAAGTTTTTGAAATTATTAAATTTTAATTTAAAATTATATAATATTTGAGAATCTTTATTTATATTATTTCATATTCTAAATGGAAAAATATACCCAAAAGGCTAAAAAAAAATTACTTCAGCTATTAAAACAGTTTTATTTTTATAAATTAGTTTAATTTTTTGATTAATTTCTATATTTTTTTAATAATTTAGTATTGTGTAAATTTTTTTATTGTTATATCTAAAATAATTAATCACGAATTATTATCTTATAAATTTTAATTAATTAGTTAATTTTATAATTATTGTTTTAGTTTGGTAGAAGTTTATAAAGATTAATAACGAGTATTGATTGGAGAAGTATTCCGAGAGTTTGAATGTAACGCCCAATAATTCTTAAATTATTTTTATTATTATTATTAATTTTATTTTCTATTTTATTTTATTTTATTTAGTTTATTTTAATTTAATTTAATAAAAAATAAAAATAACAATAATTGTAAAATTGGGTAAAAATATTATTTGGATTTAATTGAAATTTATTTTGGGAAAAAGGGGTGAAAATTAGGATTTTGGAGGTATTTTTGAAAAGAAAATCGGAAACCGGGGGTCAAAACTCAATTTAAAAAAATTGTGCCCCGTCAGCGCCACATCAGCGGTCCAGTCAGCAGTCCTTGCCAACCAGGACCTACCACGTGGCAAGACCACGTCGACCCGGAAACGGGCCACGTGGGCGATCCGCGTGCGCGCGATCGGACGGCCCAGATGCGTCCCCGCGCGCACGGACGGCCCAGATGCAATCGCACGGACGGCCCAGATTCAATCAAGAACGGACGGCCCAAATTTAATCAAAATGGACGGCTGTGATCAAAAGGCAAAAGGGTATAAATAAAACCCCCACAACTGACCACAGAAACCCTAGCCGCCTGCCCTCGTCGGAGAAGATGAACCAAACGCCGGAGGAGCCGGCCGCCGCCACCCGCCGCCGCACCGGGGAGTTTTTCGACCGCCGATCGAGGTAAATTTCATACCCCCGGCTCGTTTTTCCACGCTGAGTTCCCCTGTGGCCAAATCGGAGCCAAACTTCCAGCCAAACGGCCGGAAAAAATGGCCGAAACCCAGCGGCGCCGTCGCGCCCCTCCTCAGTTTTTGCCTCTGATGAGGCCCTTCCCGGTCTCCGTTTGATACAATTTTTATATCACCGTGATCACCATTCTTTTCTCTACAGGTTGATCGGAGCCAAATCACCAAAACACAAACCTCGCCGGAGAGCCG